GGAGAAGAACTTCTGCAGACCATGTGGACAGGCGGTTTAGGTCTTGCTGAAGTAGGCCACAGTCATTGGGAGCGTCGATTTCTCTCCAAATCTTCATGTCGTCCGCAAACAAAGCACACGGCGACCGGAGAAGCTGCGGTAGATCGTTGATGTGGATCAGGAACAGAGTGGGCCCCAACACAGTGTCTTGAGGCACGCCACTTGTAGAGGGGTACCAGTCAGTTAGATGGTCATCGACGTGGACCCTCCACTTCGTCCAACAAGAAAGTCGCGGATCCACCGGTGCAGTGAGCCACTGACACCACACATTATGAGTTTGTGAAGGAGAACCCCACGACTGACCTTGTCGAGCGCTTTACTGAAATCGATGAATATCACGTCGACGGACTTCCCCTTGCTTATTGCCTTCAACCACTCATGCCTCGTCACAAGCAGGTTCGTAATGCATGAGCGACCTTGCATAAAGCGGTGTTGTGCAGGCGTCAGGACCTCGTTTGACTGTAGCAACTGCAGCAATCCCTTCTTCACGATTTTCTCAGACAGATTGGCCTGTAATTTTCTACTTTGCTAGGGTCGCCGTCTTTCGGAATAGACTTCACCACCGAACATTTCCAGTCAACCGGCAACGAACCTTCGGACAGCGACCTGTTGAAAAGGTCAGTCACGACAGGAGAGAGGATGGTCGAAAGTGACTTGAGAACCAGTGGGTGAAACCCATCAGGTCCGGCAGGCTTGGTGCCGTCAAGGTTGGCGTGTAGTTGAAGTTGACCTACCTCTTCAACGCCTCAATGCAAACTATCGAGTTCGGTAAAAGCGGTACACATCGAACTCGGAACAGACACCTGGTTATTCGCAAATACAGAAGCGAAGTACGCCGCCAACGTGGACGCACGCACAGTGCTGGAGGTTAGGGGCTGATGCTGAAAAATGTATCACGGAAAAGCTCTTGGAATATCTGTTCGTGTTTCCGTAGAGCTGGTCAATTATTAGACCTAGCGTGTACGATCCAACAATGCTTCCAGCATTTCGTAAACGTCTGTAAATAAATCCCCTTAATTGGGGTTGTTAGCCCTCTCCATGGGAATATTCGCAGGTACCACTGTGTCGCGGGCTTCCCAGCCAGCATTCACATCGGAGATGGAACTAACGATGCTTACTCGTCAAGCTTTCTTCGGAGCTAGTTGCCGCTTCGCAACAAATTTAGCTGCTCGCACCGCCTTACGAGCTTTCTTCTGAAGATGCATCTGGTTGCGAATATGGCCAACCACGGTTGGTTTCCGAGATGGGTTCACAGTCAATTCACACGAAGAACAGTAACTTTCTATCCGCGTCATCGACGTAGTATCATCCATGAAGCTTCTTCACTATTCAAAGTAGTTTTCATCATGAATTTCTTTTTTCCGCGGTTCCACATTTATAAATTTCGCAATTTTCTGGGTTTTCGCGCAAAGCTGGTGTATTTAGACATACCTGTAGTTCTGCCTGCTGAGAAGACACATATAGCACTGCGCGTAAGATTCATTCAGAAAATGAAGCGCGTAGATGAATTCGGCGTAGCAACAAAAACTGACGAACAGATTCGGTCAGCCAAGACCGCTTGATGACGATATTAGAAACTAACACTAGTCTGTCGACGCTAAATGAGATATTGAAGGTGCTGGCAATGGCAAGGTTTTCACCTAGGTAGATCTGTCTTTTGCGTTTTGGCATTTCGTGCTAGACCATGAATCGACCTTGCTGAAAAGGCTCGGGACAACAATCGGCGGTTGCGTTTACCATTCGGTTTGAAAGTCTCTAGTGAGATTTAAAATAACTTCTAGTGCAAGCGTTAGAATTGCCAGGAGCTATTTGCGTAGCATGGAAAGTGCTAATATATTGTACCAACGTGTAAGAACACGATACGCTGAGAAGAATAGGAAGCTGAAACATGATAAGTTCAAACTGCGCAAACAGGAGGTAGCATTTCACGGACACTTGTTAAACTCCGATGGATTAAAAACAGAACCGGAAAATATAAAAACAATAAAATAAACGCAACCTCGTCCTGATGCAAAAGAGGTCAATCATTTGAACAGTGTGATCAACCACCGAGTCGTTTCACTTTTTACCAAAGTTGGTCGAAGTGACATCGTCTACACGAAAACTGACGCACACAACGGATGACTAGCAACATGACGACGAACACGGTTGCTCCAATACTCGCTTACTTGGAGTTATATCTGCCTCTTCAAGTACAGTGCGACAGCATCATCAGCATCACAATTATACATGTTAACAAAAGATGCAAAACACCTCAGCCGTTGTGCCGCAACATCATGAAAACAGGGCGGTGTTAATGCAAAACGGAAAGCTGTGAGTTTTCGAAATCGAATTCGGACACTAGCCAAGTGATATCGTGCGCAAATCAAACAACAGATGTTCGCAATAATGTATGTAGTTAGACGGTTCAAGGACCACACTTTCGGATGGAAGACTACTGTCCCCACTGATCACAATCTTTCGTGTCAATCGTCAAAAGACGCTCCGTTTCGCTTTCAGAAGATACTTATTCAGCTACGCAGAAAAGTTTTGGAGGTCGTCTATCAACCTGTAGCTGAAATGTATATTGCAGACGCGCTGTCGAGAGCCCAACTTCCAGATGCAAGTGAAGCGCAAAAGAACTAGGCGACAGAGCAACATGTCGTCAACGAAGAACATTTGCAACAATCGCGGTGTTGTACAGAGATCTTCACGTTTTCTCGCTACTCCGAATTAAACACCAGAAAATTCTCCGCAAGAGTACTAGCCCAACCGAAGAAAAATCAGAAGTCCAACAATCTTGACCGAGAAAAACGTGTTAACAAAAACGCTGTGTAACTACACCAGACCTACGCCAAATATATAGGTGGCTCAACAACCTTCGGCTTCTAGATAACGAAGGTCAACTGGCAAAATTAGCAGCCTCCCTGCCAAGACTCCGTATGCTGACAATCACGTGAAGGAATGGAAGGTTTCGGAAGTTTCGAAATCAATGCACGATCGAAGATAATTAGATAATTGCTAAAATAATGTGTTGTCCTCTGATGTTTTTTCCTTTTCGCGGATAAAGGATGGAGTATACAAACCGAACAACTGCCAATAGGTAGCCAGAGGATAAAAGGAGGGTGTCAGCAGAATTGTCAATGTCTTTACATGTACGTGGCGAACCCGTCGTGGAAGACGGTTTTATATTAAGAGAAAATCGAGTGTTGATTCCAAAGACAATGTCCCACAGTATGATGGCCGGTAAGTTTAGAGGCTACATCGGACACTGAGGTCCGAAACGTTATCACAGCCCTTAATCACTTTCGAGCTGCTAGCCCGGATTCCTTCACACCTGCAGTATTTAGGGACAGTGGTGAAGTCCTCGACAAAGCACTGACCTCACTGTTCGAACAGGTCTGGAAGGAAGAGATCATCCCAGCCAACTGCAGTGAATCGATAATAGTGGTAATATACAAGAACGGCAGTCATGCCAACTGCACAAACCACAGGAGTATTAGCGCGGCGTCACGGAATAAGGAAGATAAAGCGGGTTACCGCCTAGGACGGGGCTGTATAGACCATATAGTTATCATGCGGCAGGTGCTAGAGCAGTGCGACACGTGCCATATCCCTGGACTTCAAGAGTGCGTTTGACTCAGTTGATCAATTGGTTCTGTTCGAAATACTTTGCGAAAATTGTTCCCAAGAAGTGTGTAAACATCGTAGGTGATCTGTACTTGAACACTACAGGCGGCGTTACGGTCTATGGCAACTTGTCGGATACCTATCCGATAACGGGTGGCGGTCGTCAAAGTAGTATAACTTTTCCATTTTCGTTCAACTTCTTGGTGGAAGCATCATGGAGTGTTCCATGGTGGAATATTACGATGCAGGCGTTGAGGTGCTGCCTGGTAGAAATCTAGTGGGTCTTGATTATGCGGACGATTCTGGATTGCTATTTGACGATGTTGGTGCGGCCCAAGCTACCCATCATTTGGCATATGTTTCACACTTGACAACCCACTGACCCTTGATGGCGTGCAACTCGAGGCAATTGATAAACTCACTTACCTTGACGGCCGCATAAGCAGTGAAGTAAGTTCATGTATGGCAAAAGTTGGAACTACCTTCTTGAATCAGCGACATCTGTGACGTCAGATGGTTCCCGTCGGCCGGATAGGCAGTGCTTACAAAGCCACAGTGAGAGCTGTCCTACACTATGAGAGTGAGACTTGGCCTCTTCGGTCTGAGTCCCTTTCAAATCATTGAGCATCGCTGTCTGCTGATGTCGGATGACACCAGCGTGTCTGCAGCGATGATGTTCGTAGGCGAGTGTTAGACAATGATACTCAAACTACTTGCTTGGATAAACATATACCACTGAATAAGTTGAGTTGGCTTGGGCACGTAGTACGTATGCCTGGACACCGCCTATCGAGGGGCTAGTTTTGTCTCCCAGATGTAGGGAGCACAAGACCCGAGGTGGACAAAAGTTAACCTGGCAGCGGGAAATGAAGTCACTGACGAGCAAACTCGGTGCCGCCGGTCCGCCTCGTCTTCCAGGCTGGAGTCCACATGACCCACCTTGCGCTTGGCTCGAGACGTTACGGAACATGACACGCAGTTGACATCAATGGTGCGTTTGCTGTCGCCTAGTAGTCGGACTGCCTGTCTAAAGTGTCCTTGGTTCTGAGTTAGCTGCAGCGTAATGGCTGATTACCACGCCGGGCAGTGAAAGCCGCAAGGAATCTGTCTTGCTGATGCCGCAAGGTATACAGCTGATTGTGATCGCCTGTCGTTGGTAAGGTGTAAGGGTACTTTTGCCTAGAGTACTTGGGTTTACACTACGTCCTTCGTCTTCTCCTCCCATTGTTTCCCGTTCTCTGGAGCATTGTGGTTGTACGGTAGCGATGCAGCAGATCAAAGTACTGATGATTATGCCGATATACCATTAGTGGTCGAATATATGTAATGGATTGGAGTAGACAAAATGACATAACCGCGGAACCCGCATCTTTTGCCGTTCTTATTTGAATATGGAAAGGCTGTTGACCTCTAAAAGACACAGATAAGTCAAGCGGACATGCCCTCATCGCTAAATCAATCGATTGCGCAGTGGATTGAGACATAAATCTAGCATGGCCTCAACAGTCAGGCGGATAAACACGGAAACCCCCCTTTCACACACAACGATTGAAAATCAATTAAAGCTCACATCTGAACAAATGAGGAAATTCAGAGAACAATACACTTCGATCGCGAGTGTAATTTGGTATGAGGAAGTCAAACTTCAGTGTAGCCAGATGGACAGAAAAATGAGGCAGAGCGAAACCCATTCTAGGAAAAATAGTTCAACACCCTAGCAAAACTGAAGGTATTAGCGTAATCCCAGAATAAATTTGAAGTCAAAGATCGTGTTAACAGTTAGATGAGGTCATGTGGATGTGTCTTGCGAGCACAGCGATACTGTGAAGCCAGGAGCAGATACACGGCTGGCTACATTGGATTCGGACCTTTGGGTTTGTAGCCAGACTGCAGTAAATGCTCCGGGGTATACACCAAGTTAAAAGAAGGAGCAGTGTTTCATGTCCCAAAGAACAGTTTCAACACCGTAAGGCGAAGTTAGAAACCAGAGGCGAGGGGCGATGCGGAACTCCTGCCATTTTCCAGTAATGAAATATCACTCTTTGGGGAACGATAGCGCCAATGTATTCCATCACCGAGACTGAAGAAAAAAGGGCAGGTAAAAATTGCTGGTGTCATCGTAAACATCGTATGGGCAAGAGAAGAAAACCGAATGTTATATAAGTGGAAAGAGATACGTTGTGATGAGGAGTTCCTCTGAAACAGAACTATGGTGTGGTGCTCTACGGGTGTGCGGCCTTTTATAGACAGCATTTGACTACTGAGGATTTTCGAGAAAATAATTACAATCCCGCTATTGTTCCTTTATAAAAACAGTATCAAGAATCAGAAAGGAAAAAACATATGATCGGTGAACTTCGTCAACAAAAAAGAATGATAGATTTATGACCACGGAACGCAGAAACACAAGGTAGATATCGAAAAATGAATAAGTTGAGGAGCGAAAGCTGCATACAAAGTCTATCTATCAAGGAGATTGAGTAAAAACATGCAGTGACATGCAGCTCAGTAGAGTTCCTTCGCATTGGCTTCTGTCTCATTAGCCTTGTAGTAGACTAGCTGGACGCGATTAGTGGAAAAGCGAAGGGAGTACTTGTATCTGGGGTTAAAGTGCCCTTACTAAGATCATCATCACCATCATCAACAGCAGTACATCAGCCAGTTGTAGTGATGCTTCGCTGCCATACAACCATAACAACCTACGGAACGTGAAATAATTAAAGCGAGAGAAGGGGGATATAAAGTAAGGCCATAATGCCCTAAACAAACACCTGCAGTCAAGGCGTCTACACCTTGTGTTAACAAACATGCCATCACAAACAGCTGGCTACCGTGCAAACATAAGACGGCATCAGCGAGACAGATTCCTTGCAGGTTTCAATGCCCCGAGTCATAATCAGCCAGTACCCCGCGGATAACTCAGCAACCAACACACTTTAAACTGACAATCCGATTAGGAGACGGCAGCAGACGCGCCAGTGGTGTCGGTTGCGAGCCATGTCCTGTAAAGTCTCGAGCCAAGCACAAGCCGAGTTACCTTGGCTCCAGCCCGAAAGGCGAGACGGACCAACGGCGCCCAGTTTTGTGGTCAGTGACTTCATTTCCCGCCGTTAAGTCAACTTCTGTCCGCCTCGGTGGGCGGTGACCAGGTATAAGTAGTACGTACCCAAACCAATGCAACTTATTCAGTGCGATATGTTGATCCAAACCAATAGTCGGATTCTCAGTGCCTAGCAGCGGCTTAGGCACATCATCGTTGCGGACACGCTGGTGCCATTCGAGACCAGTAATGCTACGCAGACAACGATGACCAAAGATTTGAAGTCGTTGTAGAACCTCAGGAGGCGCCAAGTCTCACTTCCCTATGGAAGTGACGGCACTTCCTGTGGCCTGGTAAACACGGCTTTTCAGACCAAAGGGGAAACTCCCTTCTGACGTCAACAGTGCCGCAGATTCAAAAAGTCAGTTCTAGCTTTTGCGATATGTGAACTTACTTCAGTGCTTATGCGCTAATCGTTGCTGATGCAGCTGCCAAGGTAAGTGAATTGATCAACTCCCTCAAGTTCCTCTGAAAAGGGCGAGCGTCCCTTGCAAATGTGTGCGGAGCGCAAGCTGTTTGTTAGTAGCACTGCTTTCAGACACACTGGGCGCCGAAGTATCACTTGGCGTCCTCCTGTAGCCGGGCAGCGATGGACCATAATAGATCACGTTGCCATAAGTTACAGGTGGCGTGGTTCCATCTTGGATTGTCCATCATTCTGGAATACTTGCGTCGACTCTGATCATGCCTCGGTACTCTGTCGCTTTTCCATGAACTTTAACGGGAGGCTTACCAAACGACTCCCTCGATTGGCAACTTAGGAGTTATCCTCGGTCAGGCAAGCCTACCAGGATGCACTGCGTACCGAACGTTCGCTCCCTTGTCCTAATAGCACTGAGCTTCAGTAGAATGGGATCTCGATAGCCAAGCAAGACGCAGTGGCATCTGCTTGTGGCACTATGCATCGTCAACGCACCAGGCATTGGATATCTGAGACGTCGGTGAACTTTTGGAATCTAGAAAAAAAAACGCCCGGTTGGCTCTGAGCACAATGTGATCAGATGGACTATCAGGCGCGAACTAAAGTGGAGCCTACATGCTGACAAGGAAGCCTAGTGGACCAGTCAGGCCCAAGAAATAGAGGAGGCGGAAGCAATAGGAACTATCTAAAACGCTTCCAGCTGATCCGCAACACTGGTTCCAGGAAACCAGGGGTCAGTGAAACAAGTAAAGACAGCGCGGGTACTCTGATACACAATAAGGAGCATTGTATGGCTCGTTGGGCGGAACACTTTCAAGATCAGTTCAGTTGGACCCCTGCTACCGGACCTCTTCCTACTCAAGTGATGTAAGAAGAGCCATGGACGGTTAGATTAGAGCCTCCGTCGGAGGCTAAGGTCCGAAACGGGATCACAGCCCTCAATAGTTTTCGTGTCACTGGCCCGGATTCCCTCCCAAAAGCACAACTCAAGAATGGAGGTGAGGTGGTCTGCAAAGTACCGACATCACTATTCGAAAGTGTATGGTAGGAGGAAACCGTCCCGGCTAACTGAAGTAAATCGATGATAGTGGCAATACAGAAGAAGCGCAGTCGCACAGACTGCTAACCACATGGGAATTAGCCTAAAGCCAGTCGTGACAAAATTCCTGGCCTCAGTTATTGTTCGTCACCTCACTGCGGAACGGGAATCTCGCAGTAGGGAAGAACAGGCAAATTTCCGCCAAGGACGTGGCTCTGTAGACCACATATTCACTTTGCGGAAGGTGCTAGAGCAGTGCCATGCACACCACAGACCGATAATAGCTGTGTTCCTGAATTTGCAGAGTGTATTCGATTCAGTCGATCGATGCATTCTGTTCGAAATACTTATGCGGAAAAGTGTTCCCATGAAATATGTGAACCTTTTACGTGCTCCGTACTCGAACACTACAGGCCGCGTCAGGGTCTACGGCGATATATCGGATGTCTTTCTGACAAGAAGTGACGTTCGTCAGGGCTATCAAACTTCCCCACTTGCGTTCAATTTTGTTGTGGACTGCATCATGAAGTGTTCCCTAGCGGATTCTCATGACGCGGGTGTTGAAGTGCTGCACTGTGAAAGGTTAGTTGATCTTGATTATGCGGATATCGTCTTGCTGTTTATGAATGTTGAAGTGGCGCGATCAACCCTGAATAACCTATGTAGAGTGGCTCCATTATTTAGTATGCGCTTCACACCCACAAAGTGCTGTTATTGCAGAGCCACCATCCACTTAATGATTCCTTGCCCCTAAATAGCGAGGCACACGAGGTAGTTGATCAATTCACTTGGCAGCTGTAACAGCAGCGAAGCGTAAATAGCCATTGACGTCAGTCTATGTATTGCAAAACCTAGAACTGCCTTCTGAATCCGCGACATCTTTGGCGACAGAAAGGGGTTTCCATTCGTTTGAAAGACCGTGTTTACGAGGCCACAGTGAGGGCCGTCTTACCTTTTGGAAGTGAAACTTAGCTCCTTCGGTCTGAAGAACTGAGGTGCCTTCAAGTTTTTGATCATCGCTATCTGCGGAGCATTGCTGGTGTCGGGAGGCATCGGCGTGTCCGCAACGATGATGTGCACAGGTGAGTGCTAGGCAATGATAACCAAGCCAGTTACTTAGAACAGCAGATGACACCAAGTTGCGTTGGCTTGGGCATGTAGTACGTATGGCTGGTCATCGCTTACCGAGAACGGCCTTGTTTACTCTGCCATATGTAGGGTGGCGCAAGGCTCGAGGTGGACAAAAGTTAACGTGGCAGCGGGAAATGAAGTCACTGACCACCAAACGGCGCCGTTGGTCCGTCTCGCCTTCCAGGCTGAAGTTCACGTGATCCGCCCTGTGCTTGGCTCGATACTTTGCAGGACATGGATCGCAACCGACATTGGTGATGCATCTGCTGCTATCTCGTAGTCAGACTGTTTGTCTAAAGTGTCCTTGGTGCTGAGTTATCTACGGGGTAATGGCTGATTATGACGCGTGGCAGAGAAAGCCACAAGGAAGCTGTCTCGCCGATGCCACCTTACCATTGCACGATAGCCAGCTGTTTGTGATGGCATGCTTGTTAACACAAGGTGTAGGCGCTTGGACTGCAAGTGATTATTTATGGAATTATGGCCTTACCCGCTTCCCTCGCTCTAATTATTCACGTTCCGTAGGTTGTTATGGTTGTATGGCAGTAAAGCATCAGTTCATATGGCTGATGCACAGTTGTTGTTGTTGTTGTTGTTGTTGTTGTTGTTGTTGTTGTTGTTGTTGTTGTTGTTGTTGTTGTTGTTGTTGAGGATGATGATTCTTGCTCCGCAGTGTGTAGACGAACGAGAATTGAGGCCATTGGCAACTGACCTATTTGTCTTAGAGTGAGAACGTTAAACGCCGCCAACGAAACGGAACAGTGTGACCTTATAAGGAGCTGTTGGCGATTAGTGTGCAGTGGGTGGTGTGGGAACATAGCTGCAGTTGGGATGACTCTAGTGACATTGCGGTTGTTGTCAAATACACTGGGAATTGTAGGAGGAAGGCCAGTAATGGGGATTTGGTGGGGGTAAGAGAACCGCTTGAAAAGGAAAGAAAAGGGGCGCCAGCAGTAGCATGTTTTCGCTTATCTGCCCTGCTAGATGCAGCAAATAAGGAGACCCTTAAAAAGCTGCGCGACGGCCGATGGAGGATATGGTTGAAGTTTGAAGAAGTAGCCATGGTTGTATGTGGGCTGAAATACTGCCAGGGCACCCAGACGTAGACAGGAGGACGATTAGGGTCCTCAACCAAAGCCTTTGGCTCAAAAGCCTGTCCGCAATGCTGCCGATGTAGGAACGATTCAGGTTTACAGAAATGGACACCACCCCATTTCCAACCCCCAACCTGGAGGACCAGGAGGCTGAGTTCGTCTGACCTCTAACCATTGACCAACCTGGTAGGAGTAGCTCTTAAGAGGCCCAAGGGCCACATCCATTATAGCTAAATGGGTCGACGAGGTATGCAAACCGTCATACCACGTTGAGGTCCAGTCTCGTAGTAAGGTCTAGTAGTACAATAAATCGGTCACAAATTTTCGAGAGTCTGCTGACAGTCCGACTGTACTGGCTGGGTACCCGATACAGATTCTGTAAGGCTCGTGGCAGCACTTCCACTTTGTCTCCGGCTTCTATAGCCTAGCAGCCATCATACAATTAACTTCCTTTCTTAGAGAACCTCTTGATTGGACATAACTGTAGTAACACTCTGGATTTATTTCGGTAACTCTAGTCAACCTAAACTCATATGAGTATTTCGTTTGCCGTAACAGTTTGATAGCTGTATTCTGAGATCTGTTGTACTACAACCAACGGGGGGATCCGTTGGATACTTGGAACCATTTCCACTAATCGCAGCGCATTTCCAGCGCTCTATCGATTCTCATCCTGCACACCATCAAGGATTAAGCGTTGTCCTGTAGTTCGACCGAATTGTGATAGATAAAATGAAACAATGCCGTGAGGGATTTTTGGTCTCAAATAATTTCATGATCATGACGGCATTCGAGTTATTTACGTGGTCACTCCGTCCAAATACTGCAACTCACAGTCGATAAAGTCCATTTTTGGACTCTTCAAGTAGCAGTACTAGAATCCGAGTTCGGGAAAGTGTGATTGTCGCCTAATGACTCTAACACTGAGTATTCGGGTGCTGTGAATAGCGATTGGGTAGACACATTGATTACAGAATATCGACCGGTTAAGTAAACAGTGCCAATTCGCGGCACAATCTACATTTGATAACAGGCAGAGCCATCCAGATCAATGCAAAGCCACGTGATTTCGGCAAAAAACTACTTTGGAAAGCGAAGCACAAGTGAGGACGTAACGAGTCCACACTAATAGTACATTCGGTCCCTAAGGTGACGAAAAGGAATGAGAAGAACGTAGCGAGCAGGAAAGACACTCAAGACGGTGCTGAAGATTACACCAGTTAGTAGAATGATACGTTAATTTGTCCGAATTCGGAAAAAGGTTAGAGACTCACGTTGTTTTAATGGGTAGGATGGCTAGGCACACGTTGGTACCAAATACCTCTTGAAAGTTTGACTTTCTACCCAAGTCGAAAGCTCTGGGATCTTGAGATCCATCACGAAACCGGGGCACAGAATAGGTCTCTGGCAAAGCAAATCAAAGCGACATGTATAGTCACGGAATACAGCACGCAGTGAATGTGCGTGTGCGTGTGTATGCTTTGACGAATTTGAATAGAATGCACACGAGCAGAACGGACAAGATAAACCCCACCAAAAGTAGTATAATTGCTGAAAGTAACCGGATTGTTTCAGCAGATGAGCATGGCATGGAAAGTAGCTTCATTAAGCAGAGCGAAATTCATCAAGATGTGACTTGTCGAAATAAAAAAATGTACAAAACAACTTCATGATGTTGCATGTACCGCATGACGGGACGGTGGCATCTTTATTTGGAAATCACACGGCAAATGGAATACGAGACGGCTTCAGAAGTGACGCATTCCCCAGTAACGTCATCAGTAAGACCTGTTATCTTCTGATCGAAGGTGGATGTGTGAGGAATTATGATAGACGAGCAGAACAGGTCTTATGCTGGAATGAAGGACAGGTAGCCAGTCGGGTACCACCCGAGAGTTCGTTGGTGAGCCAAAATGTCGGTGCGGCCTAGTATGAACGCGGTGCAGCGGTGCTCTAAACGGATGAGTGAATAAGGTATCGACAGAACAGCAAAGCTTAAAGGATTTACTGTGTGCAATCGCAAGGGATTATATGTGGGCTGGGATACTGCAGAGACCCAAACCCAGGAGTAACTGAACGAACTCTAGTCTGGGGCGTGCGGGTCACAACTCAAACGCATGTAACACGGAATGAGCAAACCGGAACGGTAGTGGATGGGAAGCGGGTTTGGGCCAATGGGGGTGTACAGATAAGTCGGATCGTCCAAACAGGATGAAAAACCATCTTTTGGGAACAAATCATCGCATAAGTGAGCATTTCAGGAACGGATCTGCTTTTGTTTAGACTTTAGATGGGTACTTTATAACCCAACAATGGAGTTTTAGCCATTGCGTTGAACGCCGTTAGTGTAGTCCAATAAGCTAGTTCACGCTATCTCTACCTGAAAGAGGGCGAACAAGAACAAATGATGTCGTAGAATGCAGTGTTGAGAGAGACCACTTCGGATGCCATTCTGGTGATCTGAAAAACAGCTTTGGTTTAGTGTAAATCGCGGCCCCAGTGGAGGTCGCGTATCGCGATCCAGATAAAAAGCGGGGAAATATCACTTCATTTAAAAAAGGCATCTATAAAGCATTCTTTGAAATACCCCTTGATGAACAAGATAAAAAAAGAACAGTGCGCACTATATACCCATATTGTGAAGTAATACCTTGTGACTGGACGAAAGATAAACACAAAAGTGTACCATTTGCGGCTCCCATGGTTTGGCGACAACCGAAGAGCCACATAAGAGACTGCTATTTCTGCATGGTTACTACAAAGCAGTTGGTAATTCGATCTATTCAGTTCCAAAACGCAAACTCTTGGCTTCATCAGAAGAGGAAATCAGTGAGCGTGAATATGCGGCCAAGTGAAGTGAACCAGCTTCAATGTATAAAGCCTCCGAAACCGATACTGAACTTCCATCAGACCCCATCAGAAATCAAATCAATAAGAATTGAGAAACTAAGTGGGTGATTTGAGGTTATTCAAGGGGGTGTCAGAGTAAGTCGAGTCCAGATTACGTAAAGGACTTTTGACTGCAATGCAAATGTATCCTCCTTTAGAGAAAGTGATGACAGTTTATTGGCCTATGTCCAAAAGATAAGCATGACAATTCAGGTCTCTTATTGCAATATGGGATGGCCTCGTATGATGCACTAAAGTGGAAATTATTTTCCGATAGTTCAAATCGTGGTCTGAAGTGTGTTCTAATGCGTAATAGCGGGATACTCAGTGTATTTAAGAGAACAGTGACGTAAAAACAGTTACTGACCTCAACAAAAAACAGAAAAGTCACTGCATCACTTGTGCTGATCTGAAGATGCACAACAGACAGGCTACATAAAGTTCTCATGTTATTTCTGCATGTGGGACAGTCGAGATCATCAGAAACATTGGAAACACAAAGAGTGGTCAAGACATGAAGCTCTGGAGGCTGGCATATCAAACCTTGCGAATGATGCAATTGTCAACAAAAAGATCATATTTCCTCCATTGCATTAAAACTTGGCTTTACGAAACAGATTGTGCGAACTTCGAATAGTAATGACGAAGGTCTTCAGTACAGAATTTCCAATTTCACGTCGTTGACTTTGCTGAAGAATAAAGCTAGTATTTTTGGCGGCTCTCGAATTTGAGCTCAGGAGTGTGATGAAGACATTGTCTCAAAGATGAATGCGTGGCAGTCATTTGTGCCAGTTATACAAAAGTTTCTTGGGAACAAAAAATCAGATAATTATGGGAAACAAATTAACAAATATTGGTAGCAGTTCGCGATCTTGCGCGCAACATGAAGTTTAAAGTAACAAAAACAAGGGAGTGAAGGTAAACAATAGTCAGACCTTTTCAATCATATGGGTACAATTGCAATGAGAGTAATAGTGGATACGATCAGTTCAAATAAAATTAGAGCCTGTGCCGACCAGGGGCATAAGCCAGAAAATAACATAAACGATAAGTGCAAACTGGGGCAAAGATGTAGTCGAACGAGTGATCCTGGCCTCAGAATTATCGTTTTATCTGTCTAGGGTAGCTTAAAAGCTTCGATCTGTTTATTTTGGGAACACAAAAGCGGTTGGTACAACCGAATAATGATCACTTCGGCTGTCGCGAATGTGCGAGAGCGAAGGCCTTTCGACTGGAGTGGAGGAACCTTGTATAGTGTTCGAAAGGCGCGGATTGGGTAGACTGCATGCCCACTATAAAATGATGAGCCATAACAGGGTTAGTTGTAGCCCCGGTACCGCTTCGACACAAGCAGCGTGGGTGACCATGAATGTGCTTCGACAGGATGTAAGTAGCGCCACCGGCGCACTCGAAATGATGCCCGCAGAAGCGGTCAAGGTTGGCCATTTGTCTTTGCTGTGAATACGAATGGGAAGGTCCGTTGAGAAAGTACACTTGAGCTTAGCAGCTTGGAAAGTTGACTTAATAGCTGTTGAAAAGCTTCTGGCTACACGCTCGGCGGCTGTGCCCCCTTTGAAAGGTAATCTTATAAAAGATTCTTTCCTATCAGCTGTTGAAACTTCCACCGTGTCGGGTTTACCTTTTGGATGAACCCCAAATCAGTATCCAACGTGTCTTCAGAAAAAATCCTGCAGGCCCTTGTGGTTAGGCAGCGAATTAGGTTTCGCAAGTATCTCAAAGGAAGGAAACTATGGAAGGTCGAATGTTGGTCACCCTAGGTTTTTCTCCTGTAGGATAGCCATTGGATCGAGCCATCTACCCTTCGAGTTAACAAAACATCAAGGAAGAGCAACCGATTGTTCGATTTCTTCTCGCAGGTAAACTGAAATGACGCGTGGGCCTGATTAAAGCGATCAATAAGAGCGTCGAAGACAATGGACTGATCGGTCACAAAAGATATGTCATCCATATAGCGATGGTAACAATCAAAGGTGGTGATTTACACATGTAGTTTGGTATTCTCTAATTTCGCCATGTAGACATCAGCCAACAATGGACTTAGTGGGAAGCCCATGGTTCCATCATCTTTTTCACGGTAGTAAGCACCATCGAATAGGAACGGTACGTTCCGGGTGCAACGCAAAAGGCTTTTCAAATCACACAATGGTGTGCCTATGGTTTTTGTGCTTCTTCTATGTATGTACAAATGTAATCAATTGTCTCGAAAAGTGGGACGTTGATGAAAAGCGAGAGAACATTATTTTCCTACCGATGTTGCGATCCCTGATGTTTTCGATGAAATGAAACTGTCACGAAGGCTGTAGTGTGCAAGTCGCTGTCTTATTGACTTAAGAATATTCACAAGCCATTGGGCGACAGCGACAAAATGGGGCGAAGTGGGACATCAGTTTAATAAACTTTCGGTAACCCGTAAAGCCCCGGAAGATACGTGCCACTCGGCTTAAGGCTATCATAAAGAGTATTTGAGATGTATCTACTATTCCGTAGCTCTTGTGGGGACGATGGGGCTCCTGTTTGGTATCAGACCAAACGAAAGACGTATGAACCGAGAAATCAATCACCGACTCTCAATGGGTGCGATTCCCTGAACTCGCTCCACTTCTTTGTGGATAGGCTACTTAGCCAAAGCTTCGGTGTGGAGTTCCATAAAACAACCCCCTACTTCGGTTTAGGCAACCGGGTAGCATCTCGCCTACTGACGAATCATGGAAACAGACACGCTCTCGCTCTTACGATGTTCTATGCTCCTGATAATGCACCAGCTTTACAATCACACGCCACCCAAGTACCTATCTTCGTTCTGTATTATTCACCCACTACCTGATTCCTCGACGGTGAACAACTGTCTCCACCGGTGAATTCGCCCCATCAACAGCCGCCAAGTTAGCCAAGCAGTGCTACACAAGGAACCACCAGCCACATGGCTTCCCATCGTCACTTCTGCAACCTGGAACTCGGTTCAAGCTAGCAACATCAAATGTGCGCACTCTGCAAATCGGACAACAACAGGGACTGGCGCGCACCTTGGAAACCCTTGCAGTTGCTGTCTGCTGCTTGACTGAAACACGACTTTAGGAGCCCAACACAGTCCACCAAACCACCCCCACACCCGTTTTCATCTCCGCCTTTCTGGTGACGCTGAATCTGCCGCTTTTTGGCAAGCTGCTGTCAGGATTGCGCTCATTGTTAGAGCCGAGGCTGCACTCCTTGATTTCAATTAACATTCGTCTCTGTGCTACTAGGCTCCGTTGCTCCTGCAAGGTCAGCAGACATCGAGTCGACAAGCGTGCTCTTTTTGTGATCTCCGCCTATGCCCCCACTGACTGCAGCCCGGATGCAGTCAAGAACCAGTGCTATCAAAGTCTTCATGATCTACTCCTAAGGGCACCTAAAGTGAACATCCTCCTTATAGCAGATTTCAACTCATGCGTTAGTCAGCTGCCTCCATCTGAACGACACCCTCGGGGGACCACATGGATGTGATGATGGCCGTT